AAAAAAAAAAAAAAAAAAAAAAAAAAAAAAAAAAATAGAAATCAGCTCTATGACTCAGAAATATTTCTTATCCTATTACCCAGTTCTATGATCATCAAAGCACTTGCTGTGGTATTTTCAATTATTTGTCTGTTTCCTCACTAAAGCATAAGCTCCAGGAGAATAGAGCTCTGGCCTATCTTGTTCAACACAATATTCCAGCACTTGGAATAGAGCCTGACACCAAGCAGGTGCTCAGATATTTCTAGAAGGAAGACTTTAGAAAAATAATATTAGCCTATGGACACAATATCTAGTCATTTAGCAAGGTAGTATGTTTCAAATTTATAAAGAACATTGCTTCCTTATTTTCCTATGGAAAAGAATCTCATCTCTATAAATCATTTTGTTGGGAAGATCCATTTCTGATCACTGTAGAGTTCAATATAATTTCAGAAATACACTAATGGCATAAACTAAGAATAATTTCCATAGCATGAAACAATTCATACCATCCTTAATTTATGTGTACATATTCCAAACCTACCTACTCTCGACCAGAACTGATACCAAACAGGTGGCAAACTAGGAGGAAAAGAAAAAGCTTGTTTCAAAAAATGCAAGAGTGTGATTACCTTCAACTTTTAAAATTTTAAGAGCAGTCACCTCTTCCAAAGGAAAGATGAAGTTAAAGTTACCGTTTATACTTATAAATTTCCCCCAGCCCAATTCAAAAAATTAACTGAAATAAAGTTTGCAGAACATCTAACAAGAACGATAATGAATACCTGCCCATTTCTTTAATACTTACATTTCACATATATGACAAAAGGATAAAATAAGAAGGCTGAAATTCTGAAAAACTGTAAATTTCTGCTTTTTTTAATTGAAAAAAAGCCCATGATTCTTTGGGAGGTGATACAAGATTGTTTGTTTTCCAGTCCGATCATAATTTCTACAATTTCTGTAATAACCATAAATTCCAAGGGTTCCCGTTCTCCCCACCCCAATTCATTTTTGGCACCTATATGTGAAATATCACTTCTGAAAAATGGGGACAAAATATGCTGAGCACTAGGTTTTTATGGCTGTCCTCCTTTCCTCATGAAAAATTTTCTGACTGCTGAATTCAGAATACTGATACAAGAAAGACAATATCTCATCCATAAACATCTTTTTCTAACTAACTAGATGGCTGTCTCAGAAACAAATTTATATTAGAGACAGCAGTCAGTTCTCAGAGGTAAAGGGGCAGTGGCTTCTCCACTTCTTCTGAATTTACTGAGCAATTCTATGAGAGGTAGCAGGTGTCTGGCACAGGCTCTGGCTTCATGAGTTTAGAACACAATCTTAAGTCATCACGTTCTTCAGAAGAACTTGGGCTACATTGAAAGAAACAAAAGAAAAGGTCCTCTCAGCCTCTGCCGGGAGGAGCGGGTCAGGACAGAGTGTGGGTTGCGGGTGGAGGAGGAGGGCCCTGACCCCGTGACTGGCAATTACGAGAGGATTTAGCCAAAGGACTTCTTTTAAAAATTCTGATTAGAAAAGTATATCATGTATACAGTATATTGCTCTTGAGTCTTCATGTCGCTTATTAAAAAAGAAGCTCCTACACAAAAGTCAGGATGCCACAGGGGAAAAGCGGCCAACACAGACTATAACTGGCTGATACTTAACTATGAAGGGCACAACTCTTCCTTCTTTCCTATTGAGAAGGATTTCTGGGCTTGGTGTTGATCTGTTTGGCCCCATTCAACTCTATTTTTTTTAGGTCCGCTTCAGATCCACAGGGTATGGCCAAGAGACCCAAAAAAATCTCCGAATTTTCCAGCGTCATTAGAACCTAATAGATGTTTCTGAGAACTACTGTTGAGCTGACAAGGGTGGGGGGAGCCTCACCCCACCGTCGCCTCCCAAGACCTAATAAAATAAGACACTTTTATTTCAAAACGAAAGACGCTAATGTTACAAAACTGGGGAAAAAATAAGAAGCTAGGACAGTCCTTCTTAATTAACACTTGGCTAACGCCTGCCTGTAGCACTACATACGTGGCCTATTTTAGGAAGGAAAAGAGGGAGGAAACTCTGAAACCTCCCGACAGGGGAGCCATCCCATTGCACGGTCAAGGGCTTATTTCTTCTGCCAGCCGCTGGTTCACAAATATTTTCCCCATTTACAGAAGCGTGTGTGAATGAGGCTGGGGAGAGCAGGGAACAGGCCGAGAGGTCGACTGGAGTCTTGGCTTGAGGAACCTGACCTCTGTCCTTAGTGGCGAGCGACATGGTCCAGCACCTTGGCCTTCACAGTAAGCAACATCTTTCTTTAAAACTTTTCTTGTTCTTGCTGCTTTTCTTGCCGTTCTTGTCTTTGTTTTCTGACATCTTCTTTGCTCTGATCTCTCTCATGAGGTCAAAGAACACCTGGGGTGGGGAGGAAGGGGTGAAAAGAACAAGGAAGAAAAAGCCATTTAATGATTTAATGAAGCAATTTGACCAAGCAGGATATGTAGTTACAGTTTAAAGTATATATAAAGCCAAATGTATTCTTAAAAACCACAGGCCATCAAAAACAAAAGGTCTAGGGCTTCCCTGGTGGCGTGGTGGTTAAAAGTCCACCTGCCGATGCAGGGGACACGGGTTCAAGCCCTGGTCCAGGAAGATCCCACATGCTGCAGAGCAACTAAGCCCGTGCACCACAACTACTGAGCCTGTGCTCTAGAGCCCACGTGCCACAACTACCGAAGCCCGTGAGCCTAGAGCCCACGCTCCATAAGAAGAGAAGCCACCGCAATGAGAAGCCCGCGCACCGCAACGAAGACCCAATGCAGCCAAAAATAAAAATTAATTTTTTAAAAACCCAGAAAAACAAAAGGTCTAGAGCAGAAGAGAACAACTAACATTAGAAACGTATTCTAATTCCACAAAGGAAACCTCTCTGCTCACATCATACAACGGGGTCAAGCTAAGGGCAGCAGCGTCATACCGTTAGTGCCACTCAGCAGCTTATTTCAAAGTGATGAAACCTGTTCTGGGGATAAGTATGATGAAGGATGAAACATCACAGGACAGACCGACAACAGTTTGTGAAACTTACAGACACCGAGAGTGACAACAGTCAGCAGGTGTCCTGGCTTCCAACCAGGGGGACAGGGAAGGGAGAAGAGCGCCTCAGGGCCCCGCCACGTTCCACCGAGCTGATGAGTCCTGCCCTGAGCCTAAAGGCACGAGCGCCATCACGTAGGACAGCTTCGCAGCCTAACCCCCACGGCAGACCCAGACCGGGGAACGCGGCAGGTGGGGGGGTAGGAGGGGATGCAGCTTGAACAAACAATGGGGCCCCCGACGCGGGGACGGGGGGCGGAGGGGGGTGTCACCCTCCCCACGTCTGCCCCTCCCTGCCCCGCTCCGCATGATGCCAGCTGCAAGGGGCTTCATCAAGAGCTGATGAGACGTGTCCTTTGAATGCCAGCATGCTATCAGTTGTCACAGTGGTCTGGGTTTTGCCCTCTGCTATCAGCAACCATGCCCAGGTACCGACTACATGCCAGCAATCAAAATACGCCTCCTACAAAGAAAGATCTGAGATTTCTCACAGAGAAGATGGAAAGTGTGAGATGAGTGTAGCCTTTGACCTTTGGACGTTTGCGCAGAACAGGCTCCCGTTACTTTCTAGAGGAAAGCGAGACTGGGCTTTCTGAATGGGGGACTCCACGAGCCCTCACCACTAGCTCAGCGTGCAGGAAAGGACCCCCCCCCCCCAAACTGCATCAGGCTGACCTAAGCACCCCCTTCCTTCAGCCTCTCAGGAAAGCGCCCCCTCCCCCATAACAGGGACCGTGAACAGCTTTGAATGTCGCCGGTTTTTCCTTGTCCTAGCAGCACAAGGCAGGCGGAGGGAGGGGAAGGAAGGGCGTGTGTCCAGCTTCACATGATGCCCAAGCTGTTCATCGCCAGTCTCATCGACAACCTCCTTTCCTGTGAACTGTTCACAGCGAACACAATGCTGCCCGGCATCAGCTTCTGCTGGTTCCCGTTTGGCAGGTCCGGCCAGTCCCGGGCAGGAAGGGGAGGTGACAAGCCGGTGTGACAGCTCCCGCCCCCCAGGTCAGCAGTTCCAAGCACTGAAAGTCTTCCTGATTTTTAAAAAATGAACTGCGTGACTGGACATCCTGTGAGTTTTCTAATTCTACAGCTAGAAAACTATTTGATAGAAACGGAAAGATTTGGAAATGCACAAGAATCAACGTAAGAGCTGAGATAGCAATCAAAGAAAAAGGAGCTGCCGAGGGAACCTGCTTCGTGCACGGCAGATGCAGCTTAACAGACTGAGGTCGTCGGAGAGGCTTCCAAAGTGGACGCCTTCCAACACCAGCGTCCTTCCAGCAACCCTGCAAGCTGAAGTGACACCTGGTTTCAAATCCCTTCCTCCTCAGGTGAGAAGCAAAGGGGAAAGGACAAGGGATGTGAGGGACTCAGGTGCTGCAAAGACGGCGCAGACGAGTCCACAGCTTGGCTGCAAAGTGAGGCGCGTTGGTCTTAACGGGAACCCAGGCCGTGACGGCAGAGAGACGACCTCAGCTTTTAGCTCTGGGGCAACCACTTTGAACTTGAGCTTTTTCAAAGAAGGCCTCACAATCGCAATCACTGGAAGGCGGGTTTTCAAACCGTCGGTGTTCATTACTGTCAAAGTCATCCTTTCCTTCGCTTCAGAGATTTGAACGAAAAGCTACGCCGGGGGTGGAGAAGAGGGGAGAGGTCCCTGGACGCAGGGACGAGGTTATGAAGACTGGACCCCTTGGCTCTGCAGGTGGCCAGGGAGGTGAAGAGAACGAATCTACCCAACCCGCCAGCGAGGGCAAAATCAAGGGCCCCCGAGGGGCCGGCCCCGCCCCTGGAGGATGCGGGCCGCCGAGGCCGCGAGGGTAGGGTCTGCGGAGGCCGCACCCTCCCCGTGCCGCTCGTGCGAAGTCAGGACCCCCGCGAGGCGCCCCCCCCCCC